AAAAGAACTAGGACAGAGGAATAGCCCCTGTCCCGGGCCCTCCAGAGATCATTCACCAATGAGACCAATGCCGTTTCCGTGCTGTATCCCGGTCTGAAGCCCGACTGGAGCGGGTCTAGATAGACTGTTTCCTCCAGGTGTCGGGGGAACTGCTGCGCAACCACACTCTCAACAACCTTCGCCACAAAGCGAAGGTTGGGTAGATATAACCGACAGAATAGGGTCCTTCAAATAATCTGATCCGAAGTCATGTAGGGCTTTAAAGTGACAACCAGCATGTTAAATTGGACCCCAGAAGCAAACAAGCAGCCAATGAAGTTCCAGCAGGAATGGAAGCTTCCGGATACTTTTCAAGGGAACCCCATGTAGAGGGCAGCAAATTAGTTTTCCATCGGTCATTTTTTGCCACCTCTTGCTGAGATTATCAAATCCTCAGCTCCTCTAAAACAGGGATCCCCAGCCATGCCAGGACGAACACGTGTGTGAAACAGTTCGCTCTCCCTCCTTGCCGTTAGTCTGCAGAGCTGGAAATGTTGATGACCGCTGCTCTAAAGCAAGGCTTTTCAACCAGTGGTACGGGTACCACCTGTGGCACATTGACACCTGGCAGGTGGTACGCGACCATCCTAGAAAAGTGGTAGCGGGGAGGGGAATGAGCTGAACCAGTGGCAGCACCGCACAAGCCTGAGCGAGTGACGGCTGGAGCTGCAGGGCTGTCAGGGCTCAGCGGAAGCGCCAGGATCAGTGCCGCTTTCCAGCTGATAGGCGCTTCTTCGGGACTGTCAGCTAGAGCTCGGTGCTGATCCTGGTTCTTCTGCTGAGCCCTGAAGAAGCACCAATCAGTTGGAAAGCAGCAATGATCCTGGCACTTCTGCTGAGCCCAGAAGAAGCACCGATCAGCTGGAATGTTGCAGCATCTCCAGGGTCTTGTGTTTTACATTCAGATGCTTGGAAACTGGTTCATATTTATGACGGTCACAGTGTCCCAGGGACATTTGAAGTGACCAAAACCCGCTGCAACCACCCAGCAGACGGGGGGAATAAAAACCAAACACCCCCCACTGCCAATCCTCAACAGAAATGCTCACAATAATGAAAACCTCGGACAGGAGGAAGAGCTCTGCCGGGTGGGCAGGCAGGTGTCTTCCTCGGCTGTGGCTTGGGGGGGCACTTTTTTCAGTGCCATTGTAGCTTTGAACAGTCACTAAGCGAACTGTTGTAAGTCGAGGACTACTTGTACTTCATCACTTTTTTCCTTTTTTTTTTTTGGTCAAGTTTTTGACACCTTGCTAGGCGACTGGTGGTACTCGGATGTTGCCATATCCTAAAAGTGGTACAATGGGTGAAAAGGTTGAAAAGCCCTGCTCTAAAGGGCTTCTATGAGAGATCCTGGGAGCTGCCTTTCTCTTCTCTAAAGCTTTTGCACTGGAAGGAACAAGTTTCCTGCAGCTGAACTAAAGGCATAAATTACGGGTTTCCCCCCCCCCCCATTTAGATTATTTTATGAAAAGTGAGATCACAACTCTTTCTAAAGCCCTTTCCACATTGCATATTTATATGGCTTCTCTCCTGTGTGGATTCTCAAGTCCTGTCTTTCCACACCATGCATTTATAAGATCTTTCTCCTTTCTGATTGCTTTGATGTCTTATAAGAGATTGATTATAACAGAAGGTCTTTCCACACTCCATGCATTGATATGGTTTCTCCCCTGTGTGGGTCCTTTTATGGCTGGCGAGAGCAGAAATCCACCTAAAGCTCTGTCCACATTCCACACATTTATATGGCTTCTCTCCTGTGTGGATCCTGTTATGGGAATTAAGATGACTGCTATGAGTAAAGCTCTTTCCGCACTCCATGCATTTATATGGTTTCTCACCTGTGTGGATCCTTTTATGGACGGTCAGACTTTGACTCCCACTAAAATTCTTCCCACACTCACTACACTGATATGGATTCTCTCCTGTGTGGATCCTTTTATGGGAGGTAAGACTAGAATTCCACCTAAAGCTCTCTCCACACTCCACACATTGATATGGTTTCTCTCCTGTGTGGCTCCTCTTGTGACAATTAAGATGACTGCTAAAACTAAAGGTCTTTCCACACTCCATGCATTGATATGGCTTCTCTCCTGTGTGGATCCTCTTGTGAGAATTAAGACTACTGCTACAAGTAAAGGTCTTTCCACACACCATGCATTTATAAGGTCTTTCTCCTTTGTGATTCCTTTGATGGATTATTAGAGACTTATAATTACAGACGGTCTTTTCACACTCCATGCATTGATACAGTTTCTCCCCTGTATGGATCCTTTTATGGGAAGTAAGATCACAATTCCACCTAAAGCCCTCTCCACAGTCCGCACATTGATATGGCTTCTCTCCTGTGTGGATCCTCTTGTGGGAATTAAGGTAACTGCTATGAATGAAGGTCTTTCCACATTCCATGCATTTATATGGC